TATAACTTATAACCCTGGTTTTAAGTGGGATAAGTAGGGTTAGTCCACTTATAACTGGGGTTATAACCCATTTACTAAGTGGGATGAACCACCAAGTATGTATATATCAGCTGGTTGGTGGTTGACCTACCCCTCTGAAAAATATGACAACTCGTCAGTTGGGATGATGAAATTCCCAATATATGGAAAATAATCTACATGTTCCAAACCACCAACCAGTATATATTAGTTTTTGTATAGATAATTATATCAATGGATATACTACTTGATTCTGATTGATTCTACTACTTGATACTCCTCCCAATTTGATTGATACTAATGTGGGTAAAACAATGATGGTACAAACAATCCCCCAGTCATCACCATTTTTACATATAGGTTGTATGGTTACCATTCCCAAATGGGTGGTTTATCAGTGTGTATATATATATAATACATAACTATATCAATGGATACATATAATTATAGTATAATCTCCTCCCAATTTGGTTGATACTACTTGATTCTACCATCTGGTATCATCTGATAATCAAACGTGGCAACTGAAAATCCTTTTTTGTTGTCTATAAATGACGTTTTAGTATGTTTTAATGGGAAATCAAATTACATAGCGGATTCTTTTAGCATGCCATGTTTGATTACCAGAGGGTATACCCAAGATTGCTGGCATGGTCAAGGTGTGCCCTTGTCATAGAGGTTCAAAGTGGTTATGATTCGCCTTTAGTGAAGCGATCTATAATTTGATCACTGACCTCGGGTTTTATCTCAACTATATCCCCATGATATTTCCATTACTGATCCCCAATTTCAAGAACCCCCCAAATGGCTATCAAGATTTCCGCTTGCCTGAAAGCACCAACAGAACTGTTTTTTCACTTGGCGGCTTGTTGATCCCCTGCTTATTTACATATATATGTATATATTATAATATATATATATATTATGTAGGTATGTATACATATATATATATATATGAATGTGTATATATAATTATATATACATATATGAATGTGTATATATATATAATATATCCATATAATATATATATATGCATACATACATCTATGTTCATTCTTCACTTGGCGGGATTTTCTCCCCGCCCGGAACCTCCATAGCATTGTACCGGCGGCATCCTGAACCGATCAACCAGCTACAAAGGGTGGTACATTGGGAAAATATCGGGGTAAAACTGACCAATATTACCTATGTAATGGTGATGTTTAGCCACTTTTGGGGATTTACCAATATTACCTAGGTAAACATGACCAATGTACCCCCAGTGGCTATCATTTACCGATTTTGAGCAACCCAGTTGTGGGTTTGACTGGGAAAATCGAGGTTTGACCAACAAACATGGGAAATTTTGGGGATATGCATATATGAATGTTTATCATCGGACAATCATCGGTTGAATACCTGCCGGTTCTCTTCTACATGGCGAGGGAAAATTCACTCTAAGCTGGATCTCAATGACCATTTCAGGATCCTAGATTGGAGGTACCTACCATATATAAGGCCTATACAAGGGCTATGTAAGGGGATATCCCACCAAAATATGGCCTTATATGGTACTAACGTACCTCCATTTTAGGATCCTGGAGATCTCCCATTGAAGGTGGGGAAGTTCCAGCGCTCAGCATGTTTGGTTGCCAGTATCATTTCTGGAAAAAAGTTGTACCTAAAACAACAACCCCCTACGCCATGATTGTAGATCATGTCCAATGGAACAAAACCATGGATTTCCATAATTATCTGGATCTTGGGAGTATCTTTATTTAGCATTGAAGCAGTAAATATCAATAATATATAATAATATCAACATGTTCTCATATGTTCTCATATGTTCTCATAGGTTCTCCCATTTGAGAGAGGCAGACTCGGACTGACGGACAAGCTGCAGTGTTCCTATTTGAAGGCTCTAGATTTGGACCGAAACAATCCAAAACAATTTCCAACCAACATCTTCAGCCACTCACCCCATTTGATGCACAAGCTGTATCGCCGTATCTCCTCGCTTGGTATAGTGGAGCACCATCGCCGTAGGGGTACCTGATGCTGGTTGGTTCACGTTGGGAAGTCAATGATCCAAACCGTATGAGGTCAGCATTAAGTCAAAATTCCAGCTTCTACAATTTCGGCGTTTTAGTTTTACCCTCCAGTAAATTAACATAGACCCTGCCAGATAGGGGTTGGAAGATTAGTTTCCATTAAAGATTTGTTATTTTCAGGGTCTATGTTTATTTACCAGAGGATACCTCTTCCTTCAAATTTTCGAAGGCAACAAACAAACAAACAAACAAATATCAGTGGATGTGTTCACCACCTGTCTAGTTTGCCAAGGTCCCAATGTCAACCGGATGAATAAACGCACCAGTTTAGCAATATAGGGGGGGTCCAAAAATCATGATGTTTTCGTCTATAAATGATACCCCCCCAATTCGTAAACTAGGTTTCGGTTTCGTTTAATCCTAGGTTGATATTAATTACTGACAAAATGTGGACACTTGTTTTGCATTCTGAAAACATCTGAATACAAAAAACACTTCTTAACCACGGATGGTAGATCTGCTGTGTAATGGGGGGTCTCAACATCCCCAAGTCATTCATCAGTGTCGGAAGTTTCTTTGCGCCTTATTGTGACACCCATCAGTGTCCATGTCGGAAGTTTTGTTTATTGATGGTGTCTGTCGGTTTGAATGCCCTTGAACTGATACTGGGCACAATCTGAACCTCATCTTCTCCTGCCAATAGCTAACCAAGTCCGAAATCCGTATGTAAACTTAGCCTGGTTGTCTCAGGTAACTGGAAGGTTAGGGTGAGGTTACTGGGTAGTGATTTCAACCTTTCTCACTTCTCAAACTGGTTGTGGTCAGTATCATCGTTCCAAGTGAAATATGAAAATACATGAGAATAATACAGATGTATCATACTTGATACAGCAACCATCTCTTCCTGCCTCCACAATTCCACCTCAACAAACCACACAAATACAGGGATGAGTCAAAACCTAGGTAGCAATATCCCCATATTCCGGGGGTCAACATCAATTTTTCCAAACTATTTTGGACTACCCATATCTCTTTGGAACATCAAGGGTTGATCCTGGATGGTTTTCATGGTTTCTCCCCCGTTACATCCAGCTACAGGAGGAAGCACTGGTGCCGCTTTCCTGATGATATCAGCAGTCTGCGGCACGGATTTTTCCGCTCTCCCAACATGGCTTGGCCGCTCCTCAACAACCCTTTGGCGGGCTGCTGAGTGGTGACCCTCCATGCACACCCCATCGGTGCCCCTGCGCCCGGAATATCCAGGAGAGGGTCGTGCTGCCTCTGAACAATCTCTGTCTAAGCTTCTCGTGAGAAATTGGGTCTACAAATTCATGTTGAATGTGCATATAAATATAATATATATATATACTGCAGCATTTTTCATGTTGAACAGATATTCACATATCAAACTATGATAGAAACGATAGGATGATCCCAGACTTTCATCATTTCTTGTTTCTTGTCCTTGGCTGTTAACCTCTGTACAACAGCGACAGCTGGTTTTCTCATTGCTCCAACATAGCACCTGCACTGCGGGATGCCCCAACCTGGTACCCTCCGTAATCAAACGTGGATGGATATCCCCTACACATGGAGGTTTCTTTAGGAGAAATGACCAGATTAATATGCCTATTTTGGGTTCCGTATTAGATTGGCGGCTTACTATCATTAAAACACGATCGTAAATCACAATCAGGAAACATACAAGGATCATCCAATTTATCTTTCAAATGGCACAGTTTGACAGATGTATTCTAATGTGTATATGTATATGTGTATATACGTATGTATATTATATATATACACAATTTATACATATTTGTTTCTATCTGAATGAATGATTGATATGATTGCTAAACATATCTCTGATTGATGCTGAGCCTTTCCCACCCCACAACACCACAACACCTCGAAGCCTGCATTGATGGGGAATTTTCACCAACAATTGGGATGTCGTTGGGTTATAGTCATAGATGGGATTATGATGAGAGGTGATATAACCACCACCTTCACAAGGTCAAACGAGATTAAGCCAAAGATGTTTTGGGGTCAATCACTTTGACTGACCCGAAAGTGCCTCCTCATGCGCTGGGTTTGCTGGAAGGACTGGTGGCGCTGGTGGCGCTGGTGGCGTTGGTGGCGCTGGTGGCGCTGGTGGCACTGGTGGCACTGGTGGCGCTGGCGGCGCTAGTCCTTGGGCGCCATGGTCAAGTTTTCTGGGATGAATGGTCATCGATTCCATGTCATGGGAATCCAAAGATAGTGGCTATAAAACTCACCACAAAAAAAAAAACTCACCAAAAAAAACTATGAAATATGAAAATGCATTGATGGAGTATACAATCCAATTTCCGACCATGGCATACATGGTGTAGGGATGTCTAGGGTTTAAGTTCCTTTGGCCTTGAGGACATTTGAAGATTTGAGTTTGACATTGGATAGGTTACGAGGTGGCCCCACTTTGTATCATTCGCCACGCTCCTGTGGCTTCCATCCGAGGATAAGAGATGCGGAATCCTCCCATTTTGGCAAGGGCCCGGGGCCCGAAGATCTTATAACTTATAATCAAACATAACTCCAAAGAAAACTATGTATATGTATGAATATGTATATAACTATATATATTATATATACATACATCATACATCTATGTACACAATCCAAAAAATAATCATGACCCACAATATAATCCACACGTATCCCCGCCGAAAAGAACGGTTCCCAAGAGTTCCATGAGTTGAGGCATGTTTTCCCAACGCTGAACGTAACCAAGCAGTTTTTGGTGTGTTGCTTTATAAAATTAAACCATGAATGCTATAGTTATAGGGTTAAGATGTTATAAGATGTTATGATAATGTACTATCTAGATGTTATTCTAGAGATAGTAAGATGTTATAGGATGCTATAAATATCATAAACATTCATAAACCATAGTGAACTTGGGGTATTTTTTCATGGCTCAGTTCTACCGAGCTTCTCAGGAGCCTTTCCTTTCTTGGACCGCGCTTGTCTCCGAGAAAAGCAGCAGCACAGCATGCTACCAAGCCTCACAGGAGGTGACATGTATAAACATTGGGATCTAACACTACTTAACCATCAAAACAGTGGGATGTTGCAAACAACAATTGTGACTTATCATGACCGAATCATCAAAACATAGTCCTTCATCTTACCGACGAACATTTGGGATTTAACATGACATAACCAATAAAAAAGGGAACATTACCGTCCCATTTTTTGGGGTTTGACGTCATTCAAGAATCAAAACTTGGGATTTACTCATAGAAACTCGGTACTTGACCAACAAATATGATGATTTTACAAACAAGCATTACCCATAGGATCCATGGTGCTGGTATATATGCTAACATTTGGGGTATATTAATGGTAAATGCTACCATATATGGCATACATGGATCCTATGGGTTAAGATTTGATCGGCAGAAATCGCAGAAATGTCCCAATTGAACTTGCAGAAATTGGGCACCCCTTCACATACACGGCCAGCAGGCACAGGCTTCAGTAGCTTAGGTGAGGGGTTTCTTGATATTGACCCATAATTATAAGTCAAAGTTTGTAAATAATAATACATTTTTTTGATACAGTATTTTTTTGTTTTGTTATATATCCGATTTGTTTGTTGGTGAAATCCACAATTTACCTTGAAATTTGTTTCGGAGTATATGTCGACATATGGTGTTTATCTTTGTATTCATGAAGCCACTAACCCGACCTTAAGTGTATCAAACCAGCCTAGATTTCCGGAAAATTCTCGTGCCCCGTGTCTAGCCCTTTGGACCCTCGATCCTTAGGGTGCCGTAGAGAAGTTGTCCCAGAGCCAGCAGCAAGAAAGTCAGGTTCAGAAGCAGCACAGCTGGATGGAGTCCTGTCGACAGCAACATGCCATGGGGGTTCAACATGAGGATCTAAAACGTGACCCCCCCTAGATAATGATGCCAATATCCAATTGGGCCTATGGATTGATGATACTTATAACTTATAACTATAGGGTTGAACACCAAGTTATAACTGGGAGGTGGCCAGCTTGTTGGGATACTCTTGGGATAACACACACAACCAAGATGATCAAGGCGAATATCTTCAGTCCAGTTTTTTGGGGAGTCACCTCTGCGGGGGCTAGTTGAATACCCATTATGGATATATATATATATATAAATAATATAGATATATATATATAAATAATATATATATATACCCTATGGATCCAGCCATACCTTCTGAAAGGAATATAATTTGGAGGGTTAGCCGTACCTTCTCAGACAGTGTTCGGATCCAAAGGGTATGGTTTTAGGTGTGATTGAAAACGGAGTATACTGGTACTGTATATGATAGGCAATCTGATGATTAAGCAGCATAGATTCTCTGGTGTGCCCTATTTTCAGATATATAAAACCAATAACTTCATATAACTTCCACAAACCCAACAAACATGGGGATTCAGTGAGGATACAATGAGGTTTATTTGAGCACAATGATGTTTGAATTCTAAACTTGATCCATCCATGTTTCCACTTTTAACCATACTTTTTCTGGGGCTTGGTTGGCGAGTACAGTCGCTAGAATCACTGGGTTTTCGTTGAACAGAAAAAGCATATACCATGATCAAACATTTCTAGATACAAACAATTCATTCCAGTAATCATGTGACTACTTACTTGGAAGATCATCCCATTTGTTTCCTTTGGCCACAACCTATAAGACGCCGTGATTTTTCTCGAACCAGCAAAAGAATCTAGAGTCCCTAATGCTGCCGCCCCCGTTGCCATGAGTGCTTCCCATACCACTCCCGAGAGCCCGGTAGTATCTATGGAAAGTGTGTAGGAAACTTATTGAAATGAGAGTCTCATCATGTGGGGTCCTCAAGCATACCATGGATATCAGACAATATAAGCAATAAACATGGTGGAATCCCACTTGTGCCGAAGAGGTATACAAAGCTCCCTACTACAATACGCAAGGCCTGCTACTTCTACATTGCCCGATCGACACAACTCAGAATGTGGTCCCACTGGTACATGGATGTTTATGTATGTTGTGAACATGTACATGCATATACAAAAATCTGAAAAAATGTGTGTACGCATGTGCATGCACGACATATATTGAGCTTCAAGCCTTAAATGACGCCTTGTCCTGATTGAGAGGTTTTGCCTGATAAGGTTGACAAGCCGCCATGCAAACCAGGCATCATGCCTGTTCCTTGTGTACATATGTGTATGGAAACATACAGGTATGCCACTTGAGTGACATCTACGGCATTCAGATATACAAACAGATAACCTGGGAGAAGGCCATTCCCCACAGTTATGGTCCTCAATGACTATGGCCATGGGATTCTAACTCCTACAACTAAGGCTAATAGAATAAGCCAGTTATAAGTGGTTTCATGGACTATAACTGCACTCCAAATTCCCATCATCCCTAACAAGTAATTAGTAAAATCCCGTATCTTAACCCATCCACCGAGGTATTTTGGATGGCTCAGCGACCCAGCGCGCACCGGAGAGGCTCTGTCGATGCTGGGGGTACTTCTCTAAGAAACTCTCCACAAAGCTCTGCAGAACCTGCACCGGTAGGTCTCGCCATAGGTCGGGGCTGTTGAAGGATGGGCTGTGACAAGCCGAGCTCTGGTGTTATCATAGCCTCAATGGCGTTTTTTTTTGCAAAAATTGTTACTATAACCCATAGGATCCATGTATGGTATATATGCTAACATTGGGGATATATTAATGGTAAATGTTACCATATATGGCATACATGGATCGTATGGGTAAATCAACCAAACATTGGGATGAATCATTGGGATTCAACGGAATTACCATACTGATCATAATGGGAATCGGATCATTTTCGTGCCTGGAATGTTGATGGCTGGAATCTCTGGCAACCTGGTGGGTGGAATCAAAGACCAACAGAATTAAGTTCCAAGAGTGATTCCTAATGGTTCTTTATTACTTTGTTTAATTTTAAATCTAGTTGTTAACTAAATCTAGTTAATTCTATTGATTACCGAATGTTGGTTGTTTCTGGTTGTTGAAGCAACTTCAGACAGGGATTCTGTTGAATTTCATCAGCTGAGCATAGCTGAGCCGTGTTCATACCATTGTTGGTTGATGGTCAGTGTGGATTTCCCACTTCATGGATTATGTGAATCCCCAAAACATTGGGAACTCCACATGCTGGGTTCCTAAAATAGGAGTATCCCCATTTTTTCCCCCAAATCATCACTGGTTGGTGGTTTTAACCCTACCCCTCTGAAAAATGATGGAGTGAAAGTCAGTTGGGATTATTCCCAATATATGGAAAAATAATCCAAATGTTCCAGTCACCACCAACCAGATCAAATTCATTGGACAAATAGTATTGAAACAGCCATGGTGACGACTGGGCTACGCCGGGATTTTTTGCTCCAGAAAGGGAGGCACTCAGCGGGCCCGCCTCCTCTATGCTTCCGGAGACGCTTTCGAAGCGCTGCCGGGGAACCTCGCCACGCATGCTATGCGACTTTCTATGCGGGGGGCGTCCTGCAAATATGTTGGCAAATCGAATGCCATACCCATAGGATCCATGGTGCTGCCATATATGGTAACATTTACCATTAATATACCCCAGTCATGTTAGCATATATACCATACATGGATCCTATGGGATGGACCATCAATTTAGGTATGGTCTACTATTGCTTTTACTCACATTCATGTCAATGTTGTATTTACCTAATGTCATCATCACCATTAATGATATTAACGGAGAATCAATGGATATAGAACCAATGGATTATTAGTGGATGTAATGGGACTAATGGAGAATCAATGGATACATAGATTATTCATACCCCTTATTACTGAATGTCAATGAAGAAATTATTACCAGTGGATGATTAACAAATTATTATTAGCAATATCATGTAATATCTAATTATTAGAATTATTCATCATTTATGTATAATCTATTAATAATCATCCAGCAATTAACGAATTGTAGATTAATTAATCTCTTCACGGATTCTAAATATGATGAGTACTGAATCATCATTCTAGATTAATTGCTGAATATCCAGTAATCATCACAAAATATCACAAGATATCACGGATTAGTGGATGATATTCCCGGATTCATGGATTCACCATCCTCCATCCGGATGGGGCAGCACTAAACAACTCGAATTCGTGGGGATGGTTTATGGCATACAACTTTACCGTAAATGAACAGTTAACACTCATCTGGAACTGCAGATTACCCTTTTGTAAATTAACATAGACCCTGAAAATCACCAGTTTTGAGTGGAAATGAATCTTCCAACCCTTATCTGGCAGGGTCTATGTTAATTTACTGCAGATTAACAGTCATATCTCAACATATCTCAAGCAAAATGCTGATTTGGTCGAAGTTTAATGGGCATGGGAAGATATTGGGATACCAAACTGCCAAACTGCGAAAAAAATGCTATGACTGACTTATTTCATATGCTGCCAGGTTCGGATACATCGCACGTGGATTTTGTAACTGGGCCTGGTGAAACGGTTTTTCTGGGCCCGGCAATATGACCAACCAACACATGGGGGGTATGACTATCAACCCTATGTGGGTTAGTATCAATAGGTTAGTATCAACCCTATGACCCTATTATATGACAAGGATGATTCAATCAGTGGCCATTTCAGAAACCTAAATTGATTAAATTGGAGGTACCTACCATATTTTTTTAAGGCCTATGTAAGGTACTAACGTACCTCCATCAATTGGATCCTGAAATTCCCATTGATTCAATGATCTATCACCGGTTAGTGGCGCGATGATCCACCCTCGGTGACTTAACCATCCTTGGGACGGGCATAACTTGGAGGATCTACCAAAGATGTGTTAACAAACTTCCGGTACTTGACCACATCTTGAGATGAATGACTGATACTAATAATTAGTAACTACCCTCTGGTAATTTGTTACATAGCTATTGAAAATGGCACATTTATAGTTGATTTACCTATTGAAGATGGTGATTTTCCAGTTCGCTATGTCAGTTTACCAGAGGGTAATTACTGTGGATATCAACCATTATCACTAATAATTAATCATGAATGGTTGATATATGTTGATATTCTCCATCATCATCAACCATCATCATTGACCAGGATATTAATCAGTATAAAAAATACTAAGTGGTTAGTGTTACTGGGCTTAATACCCTCTGGTAAACTAGCATAGCTATGGAAAATCACCATGTTTAATGGGAAAATCCACTATAAATGGCAATTTTCAATAGCTGCGTTAAATTACCAGAGGGTACTGGGCTTAGTAATTCCCCTGGCCGACTCACCTTTTTTTCTGGGATAGCCCTGGGCACCGGAAATCACCGGGATCATTGAGAGCTGCGGGGCCCCACGTCGAAAAAGGGACATAGAAAGGTGTGGATTTCTGTGTTTTGCAAAGGTATCTATACGAAAATCTATACCTAGTAGTACACCTATGTATAATTAATGTGGTATGTTGCCTAATAGTACACCTATTTTTTTCATGTGGTATGTTGCCTAGTAGTACACCTAGTTTTTAATGTGGTATGTTGTTTGCAGTGAACATGGCCCGTCAATCTGTGGGTCCCTCAGATCCCCCTCTTTGTTGGTGAAACCCTCACGTCTTCCCCGCTAAATCCTTAAAGATGACTTGGTTTGAACGTAAAATTGGCTCGAGTTCTTCGTGGGCCCAGTGAACCCCCAACTTTGGCCATGCGCAAATGCACTTCAAATGCACCACATATATCCGAATGTGCACCGATACTCCCAAATCCGACCGATTTCTGCTCGCCCAACCTCTAAGTGCGGCCGCAACTGTTCTAGAACCTCCAGGCCAAAGCTACGAGTCGCCTCCCAGGAAAGGGTCAAGCATATGGCCCATGAACAGAACCAATACTAAATCTGGCTGGTGGTTGACCTACCCCTCTGAAAAATGATGGAGTGAAAGTCAGTTGGGATGATGACATTCCCAATATATGGAAAATAATCCATTCATGTTCCAAACCACCAACCAGTAAATGAATATTCCAGCTCCTTAAACAAGTCATGAGGGTTTCACTACAAAACAATGAGGCTTTACCAACAATGAGATTTTTTCTGGGAATCATCCAACCGAGATTTTGACGATGGTTCAATGATATTGGTGCTGTTGGCTATTGTTGGCTTATGTTTTTTTGGTTTACCAGACTGGTATAGACTGGTTCATTGTTGTTTGCTTTATACTAATGCAAGATTATATTATCTGATTATATTCATATAGTGTTCTAATCCACCATTCTTTACCTTAGAAAAATTGGCTAAATCCCAAGCTGGTTGGTGAAGTGTCAATCTTATGGTGGATTCCCTATGACGCAAAGCCAGTAATCAACCCCTCAAGTGGGGTTCATGCTATGCAAAGCTGTAAACCACCGGACCAACTGGGATGCAAAATTACACCCAGTTGGTTTCTGGTATGATTTATTGGTGTGCTTGAACAAAAGCCGCTCTAACCCATGGCACCACCCAATTTAATGGTTAATCATATTCCCTTTCAAAATAATATCGAATTTGGGTGTATCATGGTGTATCCCCGTTTGAGACAACCCCCTGCCATTTGGTGAACTCCTATGTTCCATCCCAACGTTGCCAATCTTAGATACTCTGAAAAACAAAAACAGGCACGCATATTATTTATGGCCAAAACAACAGATGCTAGACAAACTAACCTCTGGTAATTGAACAAAACGCTAAGGACAAAGGACAAATGGCGCCCATTTGCAGGTGAATTTCCGTTCTCCAACTATGAAAATGGTGGGATTCCCATGCCAACAATGTGGGGTGTTTATGGAATGCAGGGTGTTTACGGAATGTAGGTGAATTTCCGTTCTCCAACAACTATGGTTGGTGATAATATTACCTATAGTATTCATGGGGATTGCAAACCAACAAATATCACTGGGGGGCTCTTAAATCCAATTAATCCAATTAAGTTCCATTAACCTGGGTAAATTATAATATGTCACTAACCTGAATAGTTGGGCCATAAAAGGGTATGATTTCCCGTGCTTACTAACCATGATTCCCAGGGGGAGAACAGGCTTCGGTCGTGATGGGTGAACTCCAACCCGTCATCAACTGGGGCGTCGAGCACCGTGTCCCTATCAAAATAGGTCGGAGGTCGGAATGCAAGTGTCACATATCTGTAACCAAAGGATCTCTCAAAATGTACACTGTCTGCAAGTGTTATGACGCGTTTGTGGGGTGATGGCATGTCGAAAATCATCTAGAAGGCATCCCTTTGTGATCAATCTTCATAGTTATGTATAGGAAACAAATGGCAACAACCTCTTATCACCCCCTTCTTTGATTAGCTTGTTGCATGAAGTGAAACTGGAGCACAGCAACGCATGACATTTGGGACTGAAAGGATGCACATCTGATTGCACATCTGCCACATCAGAAACAAGTGAAAGAAAAAAACCATCTGCCATCGCAAAGGAAGTGAAATTGTCAAAAAACACATGGCAAAATCAGCATTTTGCCTCCGCCAATCTTGAAATTTCACGGATCCGAGGCCTGACAAACTCGGACCAAAGAGTGACATCAAAAAGTCGGCCCATGGCCCAAAAGGTCGATGGTTTCCGATGCCAATGAGATCTGTATGTGCAGGATGTCCTCAACGATGCAGGGGCTCCATGGTGTGCAGCTCTTTGCTGGATGGCTCGAGCTCAGAAGAGTTGCACTGCAAATTCAAGCTATCCAGTTGGACCCCGTTTCGATTGAATCCTATTAAATCCCACTGAATTAGATAAACAATCCCAATGAAATCCTAGGAATTTACAGGGGGAACATCCCAATGAAGTGATCTAAAATCCCACAAAAAAAACGTGAAAATCCTATGGAAATCCCAGGGAAATCCATAGGGAAACCGACCTCAGCTGCTTCCAGGATGGGCTCCAAGATCTGCGTCTCGTTCACCTTGCTCCGAAGCTCCTCAAAGAGCCTTAAGCTGAACGATGGGTGTCGTATGACTTACCATAATATATATATATATGTATGATTATGTATGTATGTAGATAGATGTGTAAATCATACTACATTATATGATATCATATCTTAAAAAAAAACTTTGAAATGAGTTTATATTAAACTATATATCATACTATCTTTATTATTATATTGTAGCGAGACATACAATAAAATACATATCATATTACTTGAGAGGGAAGGGTGAAAGATCGAAAGGTAGGCGTGGGTTGGAACAGGAGAAGAGAGCAAGGGAACGAGGCATATCCGCTGCGGACGGACATGGGTGGAGTTGGGGCGGATATCGAAAAAAGTCTTCTGGGCTTGGACTCGAGGGCGGGTACCAAAAAGGTAGGTTTCAGGGAGGGGGGACACGACACACACACACACAGACACACAGACATATATATATATATAAATACATACATATAGTTAGATATATGTATAAATATCAGGTTATGGGGTTTGCGAGGCAACGTGTAACTGGGGGCAGCACATTGTTGCAACGCGGATGGGGTTGATTCTGGTGTGTACATGTGTAGAACAGTGTGGGATTCACAAACGTGGTGTTTTGACCCCAGCATGTACCCAAAGCAACTGACTTAGGGCTATCCTGGTGCTGGAATCTTGATGCAAAAAGTGGGCCCGCGGGGTGACTTCTTGCAAACGCGGCTTTAGAGGCGGACCTTGGGGGAATCGAAGGGGGGGGTTCAATATAGTTGTGATAATTATGTTCTAGTTATTATAGTAATTCTAGTCATTATAGGTGTTCTAGTTATTATACATGATAACTATATATATATACGAATATACATATATATGAAACATATTGAAATGTCATTAGCGAAGTCTTTTGGTTGAAGAGAATATCTTGGAGGAACCCTTGCGGAAAATCCACCAAATGATCTAGATATGCTGAGCAAGGGGCAGCGATTATGCTTCGGCAACCACTAGCCAAAGCGCAATATCCCACAATTGCTGGGTAGAGTATGCATATATATATATATACGAATCTATATGTATATTGAGATTATTTAGTATATATGGATATATATCATGGAATTATTATGTGTATATATATATTTATATAGATACATATCTTTAACTATATTGTCGAAGGAAGTTGAGAAGCTAAACTTCCGACAATATGGACAGATGAAAAGCAGAGCAGGGCAGAGGCAGAGAGAAGAGAAAGTTCAGAAGAGAAAGGGTCAGAAGAAAGAAGATGCAGATGCGCGAAAAGGTAGGAAAGTCGCGATTCACTGTGTTTTTTCCAATGATTTGTGGTTCCGGAGGGTCGAAAAGTAGGCTCGCTAAAGCGGCGGGTGCGGAGACATATGGGGAGATGAGACATGAAAAATTGCACGCCGTTGTGGCGCGAAGCACATTTCCAAGTCAAAATGCACAAAGAGGATCGGACCACTTTTGGCGCTTCAGATGTCGAAAAAGTGCACGCCGTTGTGGCGCGAAGCACATCCCCAAGTCAAAATGTACAAAACACACCAGGGTCTGACCACTTTTGGAAGTTGCGATGTCGAAAAAGTGCACACCGTTGTGGCGCGAAGCACATGTCCAAGTCAAAATGTAGAAAACACACCAAGTGCGGACCACTTTTGGCACTTAAGATGTCGAAAAAGTGCACGCCGTTGTAGCGCGAAGCACATTTCCAAGTCAAAATGTTAAAAACACTAGGGGTTCGGACCACTTTTGGAGGCTCAGAGGTCGAGTTTCGAAAAAGTGCACGCCGTTGTGGCACGAAGCACATTTCGAAGTCAAAATGTGCAAAACACCAGGGGTTCGAACCACTTTTGGAGGCTCAGAGGTCGAGTTTCGAAAAAGTGCACGCGCTGTGGCGCGAAGCACATTTCGAAGTCAAAATGTACAAACCACACCATGTTCGGACCACTTTTGGAGGCTGAGATGTCGAGTTTCGAAAAAGTGCACGCCGTTGTGGCGCGAAGCAGATTTGGAAGTTAACATGTTAAAAACACTAGGGTTTCGGACCACTTTTGGCGGTTCAGATGTTGCTTCGCTTAACTCGACTACATTACATGACACTACACTTTGCTGCACTACACTACATTACACTACATTACATTACACTACACTTCACAACACTACAGGTTACAACTACAACTACACAACTACAGTCCACTACAGTCCACTACAGTCCACTACACTAAATTACACTGCACTACACTCTCTACACTACACTTCACTACATTACACTACACTACACTCCACTACACTACAAATACAACTACACCTACCCAACTACACTCCACTACACCCCACTACACAACATTAAACTACACTACACTACCTTACACTACACTACACTCCACAACACTACAACTAAAACTACACAACTACACTCCACTACACTACACTACCTTACACTACACTACCTTACACTACACTACATTACACTACACTAGACTCCACTACACTACACTACATTACACTACACTACCTGCCGCTACACTTCACGACACTACTCTACACTACACTCCACTACCACCTACAACTACAACTACACTCCACTACATTACACTACATTACACTACACTACATTACACTGAATGACACTGCACAAAAGATAGACAGGTAGACAGCTATAGACAGCTAGACAGATTAGATAGATAGATAGATAGATAGATAGATAGATAGATAGATAGATAAGTAAGATAGATAGATAAGTAAGATAGATAGATAGATAGATAGATAAGATAGATAAGATAGATATGATAGATATGATAGATATGATAGATATGATAGATATGATAGATATGATAGATATGATAGATATGATAGATATGATAGATATGATAGATTTGATAGATATGATAGATTTGATAGATAGATAGATAGATAGATAGATAGATAGACAGATAGACAGATAGATAGATAGATAGATAGATAAGATAGATAAGATAGATAAGATAGATAAGATAGATATGATAGATATGATAGATATGATAGATATGATAGATAGGATAGATAGGATAGATAGGATAGATAGGATAGATAGGATAGATAGGATAGATAGGATAGATAGGATAGATAGGATAGATAGGATAGATAGGATAGATAGGATAGAAGGATAGATAGGATAGAAGGATAGATAGGATAGATAGGATAGATAGGATAGATAGGATAGATAGGATAGATAGGATAGATAGGATAGATAGGATAGATAGGATAGATAGGATAGATAGGATAGATAGGATAGATAGGATAGATAGGATAGATAGGATAGATAGGATAGATAGATAGATAGATAGATAGATATGATAGATATGATAGATATGATAGATAGATAGATATGATAGATTGATTGATTGATTGATAGATAGATAGATAGAGGGATAGATCGATAGATCGATAGATCGATAGATCGATAGATCGATAGATCGATAGATAGATAGATAGATAGAGGGAGAAATAGATGGATAGATGGATAGATGGATAGATGGATAGATGGATAGATGGATGGATAGATAGATAGATAGATAGATAGATATAGATAGATAGATAGATAGACAGGTAGACAAGAGTGAGAGAGATCAATCGCCTTTCAGTCCAGCAGTGGCTTCGCTCTGCCATCTCTGATTCACAACAACCAATCTCTCCTATAGGTTTCCTATTTTTGAAACTTCCGCCACCGCCTTGTGCGGTACTACTGGTATATCATGTACAATTTTGAGACTACTGCAACGCAGTCCGTCGCAACGTTCTTGCTACGACATTGTTCATCGCGGTTGTTAGGGTGAACGAAACAAAGTTCTTGAGCAATCTGACATTGTCGAGTTTCAGTGCGGGTCTTGACTTCGGTTGGGGTGGGGATGTATGTAAACGTGGTGGATGAAAGTGCATGTGCGGCTGTTGGCGTTTCCTTGTAGTCCGCCTATGTTGCAAACCCGGCTTTAGAGGCGGACCTGGGGGGAATCGAAGGGTGGGGGGGGGCCCCCCCCCCTTGAAAGGCGGACCGAGACATAACCGGCCCAAACTCTTGCACTTGCACCGCTCGCCCCCTAATACTTGCTACGCAAGGGGGAACTCAGGTAGCTCACCGCTACCTTTCGAGACTTGTATGATTTGAACAACTGAATGACATGTACATTACACGTATCATATGTATCTGATTATCTGCATTTAAAAGAACACTTAGAGTCTGAGTCCAACCCTTTCGACAAACACTTTATTTGGAAGTGCAACTTCAAATACAAGTGGGTACATAATCATACGTATGTTTTGGCGTTATATCCCACCTTAAGGGGGTTCATCCATGTTATACCCACTTGTAACTTCAACTGCACCCCCAAGTAGGGAACATCTTTTGTGAATTTGGCAGTACCAGGTACGGGGCGAATCCTAGCTGCGCTTGCAAATCATCCAACTAAATTGGATATCTGGTTGGTGGTGCAATAACCATCTTGAAACATATTAGTCAATAGGAAGGATTACCCCATGTATTATGGAAAATAAAATTAATGTTCCAAACCACCAACCAGATATTTTTCAGCTGGCAATGTTTGATTCCCAGAAGCTACTTGATACATCTTGCTACAAACTTGAATCCAAAACTCTCGCTTTTCATCGACCTTTACCAAATTTTACCAGATTTTCAGGGTTGCAGGATTTACCATAAAACAAAGCCAATTCCCAAAACATCTTGTTTCCTTCCGATGCAACTCTTGCCTTCCTCACTACCTTGCAATGGATTCTAAACATGTAATTGAGGGATTTGAGGATTTCCATGTGCGGATTGATGGACATAATATCCCAGTGGGGCCAATGAGATTCGAGGAAGTGAGATTCTGGAACTTTGGTATCAAGCCAACTTATTTAAACCATCTCGTGCGGATTTGCAGACTCATGAGTAAAGATGAAGAAATATTGCTGACATTTGCTGAACCAGCTAAATTATGGCGAGAATCCAAGAGCGTACGTTCCTTTTGCCTTGGGTCATTGTTGTGTTGATCACTGTTTCCTGATTTTATTCGATTTCCGGTCCCTTTAGTGTCTATCCTAGGCAGTCCTTAGCTGGGTAGGCAAGGGTCGCCCGGAGGTTTGAACGAGTTCTGGGGTAGTAAGCCTGGCCTGGATGACCGGCACCTGGCCGGGATGACCGGCACCTGGCCGGGATGACCGGCACCTGGCCGGGATGACCGGCACCTGGCCGGGATGACCGGCACCTGGCCGGGATGACCGGCACCTGGCCGGATGACCGGCACCTGGCCGGGATGACCGGCACCTGGCCGGGATGACCGGCACCTGGCCGGGATGACCGGCACCTGGCCCGGATGACCGGCACCTGGCCGGGATGACCGGCACCTGGCCCGGATGACCGGCACCTGGCCTGGATGACCGGCACCTGGCCGGGATGACCGGCACCTGGCCGGGATGACCGGCACCTGGCCGGGATGACCGGCACCTGGCCGGGATGACCGGCACCTGGCCTGGATGACCGGCACCTGGCCGGGATGACCGGCACCTGGCCGGGATGACCGGCACCATGACGTGTTCACATTTTTGGAATTTAAACTTGCGCCCATCCATCCAGACATACAGACATACACATTCACACATATAGACCCATACGGACATATATACACACATACAAACATACAGACGGACTGACAGACGGCCGGACAGACATCCAGACATACAGACGGACTGACATACGGCCGGACAGACAGACATGCATACATAGAAGCACACACACACGCAGATACGGACATACATACATGCATGCACACATGCATACAAACATACACACATACATACATACACACACACACATACATACATACATACATACATCCATACATCCATCCATCCATCCATGCATGCATGCATGCATGCATGCATACATACATACATACATATATAGTTAGGTTTATGTAATGGCATACAAACATTAGGATATTTCTGGGGTCCCGCCAAATGACATTTCGATATCTTATGCAATAGATGAATGTATACTTGCTAGGGCCCGAATAATTCCACTGTAGCCACTACAGTGGAATTTTGGTGTCCCTAAGAAAGGACCATCAAAATTCCAAGTTTACAGACCAATGGGGTGCGGTTCCATGTCTATAGTTCCTAGATAGATAGATAGATAGATAGATAGAAAGATAGATAGATAGATAGAAAGAAAGATAGATAGATCGATAGATCGATAGATAGATCCATAGATCAATAGATAGATAGAAAGATAGAAAGATAGATAGCAAGACAGGTAGATAGCTAGATACATATATAATTAGATACACAGATAGGTAGATAAATAAGGGTTGATGGGTTTTGACAAAAACAAAGCAAATTTCCACGGGAAAAACTAGACACTTTTACTGCGCCATCCCTGATCATGAAGTTTAGGGCGGTATGCAAGTTGAACTGGAGCACCATCGTCCCACTTGATTGCGAGCAACGCAAAAGATACACGCATAAGGTTTCAACTATAAATCCAGGTCCACAGCAGGTCAAACGCGCACTCTCTAGAATGCTGCATGCCGTGGATAGAAATCGCATATTCCCTTCTGCAGGACGCGGTTCTCAAGTTTGTTGCGATTGCAAGCCTGAAAGCTTTCCATGGTGCCACGGTTACGCGCCAATTGACTTGTATGATTCTAGCGGCGCAATCATAGCCAGCTTCCTCAGAATTTCTTACCTTGTGCAGCATGTCAAATTTCGGTTTTCAATGGTCCCTCCCAGGGGACCCCAAAAATTCCAGCGCAGGTCCTGCGCTGGAATTTTGGGGGTCCTTCCAGACAGACCCCCCTAGCATTTTCATGTCCCCAGTTGCACATCATGTGGGTTATGTCCCTGCTGGGGGACCCCAAAAATTCCAGCGCAGGTCCTGCACTGGAATTTTGGGGGTCCCCCCAAGAGGGACCACCAAAATTCCAGTAAGGATCTGCGGACAAGTCAAATGAGGTCTCCTCCTCCCTTTTTCTCCTCCTTTTGTAATACCTGAATAATTGCGTTCCTTCTCCAATCCCTTCGCCTGTTGTGCTGTGCCTTTTTGCTATGTACTGATTTCCCACTGCATTTACATCTTTCAGGTAGAATGTCATACGGCAGGATAGTTTCATAGTTTCAGATTGAATGACCAGAGCATGTTTGCTATGGCGATTCTCAACAGAAAGGATCTGAGCCACATCATATCTGCCAGGTGAGGATTCTCAACCCCTGTTGTTTATACAGGTTGTTTCTGCCGCTGTATGAGGTGGCGCCGGAAAACCTTGTCTGGAAGCATGCTTTAACTTGCATCAAACAACAACTTGCCTAATTACCCTTCAAGTACAGGTGTATACGGTGTATACCGAAGAACAGTGTCTGCATGATTGGATTGAATTCCTTGATGTAAAATCTTGCTTCCTACAATCCTGAAGACAGAAAGATAGATAGATAGATAGATAGATAGATAAATAGATAGATAAATAGACCGACCGACAGACCGACGGACCCACCGAGCGAGCGAGCGAGAGAGAAAGAGAGAGAAAGATACAGCGAGAGAGAGAGAGAGAGACAGAGAGAGAGAGAGAGATAGAAAGATAGATCGACAAACGAGACAGACAAATAGATAGATATGTGTGTTTGTATGGATACACCGGTATACACACATTGTTTTCAAACGTAAACAAAAATCAACACACACATATTTATTTAATTAATTTATTTACCTATTTACTATTTATTTATCTATTGTTTTATTTATTTAATTACTTATTTATTTATTGTTTATTTATTTCTTGAAAATATTAAAACCATTTGTGTTTTCAAAAAATGAAAATAGAAAATAGATGTAAAGAAGAAAGAAAGAACAAATGAAAAAAAAAAATAAAGAAATACTATATAGTAATACATATAGTAATATATATATATATATATGAAAATTGAATATATTCATATAAATATATATATACATATATATATACATACATATATATAGCTACATATCTCTCTACATCCGACTCTGTATTTTTTTATATAGAAAGTTTAAAAACAAATAATTATATATAGATATAATATAAAGACTTAAAAAATATATCTATATATATATATATACTTATATAGTCTGATAAAGATACAAATAAAAATATATATGACCCATAAATATACCTTTTCATTTTTAAGCATTACCAGCGATAAAGAAAAATGCATTGACCAGTTACCGGACATCCCGGCCTTGCACCGGACATCTCAAGGCAGGTGCCGGACATCCCAGGTGCCGGACATCCCGGCCTTGCGCCGGACATCTCAAGGCAGGTTCCGGACATCTCAAGGCAGGTGCAGGACATCCCGGCCTTGCACCGGACATCTCAAGGCAGGTGCCGGACATCCCAGGTCCTTGTGCCGGACATCCCGGCCTTGCGCCGGACATCTCAAGGCAGGTGCCGGACATCCCAGGTGCCGGACATCCCAGGTGCCGGACATCCCGGCCTTGCGCCGGACATCTCAAGGCAGGTGCCGGACATCTAAAGACAGGTACCGGACATCCCGGCCAAGCGCTGGACTTCTTGATGAATAGCATAAAAGATCATAAAAGTAGTCCACGGAGCAAATCGTTAACCCTACCAGTAGCAAACTGGCCCACGGAGTGTTTACGGACCAAATCCTCAACCCTATTGGGTTCGCATTCTTTCCTTCTTCTGAGCAAAGTCAGCTTTAGCAGTAGCTAGCGTGCCCATGTTTCTGAATATCTCGCCATAATTTAGCTGGTTCAGAAAATGTCAGCAATATTTCTTCATCTTTACTCATGAGTCTGCAAATCCGCACGAGATGGTTTAAATAAGTTGGCGTGATACCAAAATTTCCAGAATTATTGGCCCGATTAGGATATGTCCATCAATCCATACATAGAAATTCCAAAATCCCTCACTAATACTTTTATGTGTAGAACCCCGTCAACTACCTTGCCATGGTTGGAAAGATACTTGGAAAAATATTGAGGAAGTGATGTGCAATCTTCAGATGTATTTCAAAGATAGATCTGCTTGATTGGCTTTGATTCCTGTTCATAAAATGTTGTTTCCTGCAACCCTGATTTTCCTTGGTGATTCCCAGCAATTCCATCCAATTCCCACCATGGCCATGGTGATTTCACATGGTAAAGCCATGGTTTTTCCCTGCCACCGAAGACACTCAGAAGCCCTGCTTTGCACTGTTTCCTTTGCCGAAAAATTGGCTGGAAAATCCCCCATGTACTGAATACGATGGTTTCCCGATGAATTTAATGGTGGTTTAATGATAATTATTAATTATTGATAATTTAATGATGGTTAATGGTGGTTAATGATGGTTATTATATGGTTAATAATAATGACTGGTTGGTGGTGCAATGTGCCCATCTTGAAACATGATGGAGTGAAAGTCAATAGGAAGGATAACATCCCATATATGAAATGGAACATGAAACTCATGTTCCAAACCACCAAGCAGATGGTTATGTTGTTTTTTGGCTATAGTTTCCTATGAAATGGTCGTTTCCACTCATCCAAAGTTGGTCAAGTGGGTCGGCCAAGTATACTGCCATGGCAAGTTGGGGGATTTCCCAGGTCGAGTCCCAGCTTCCAATGGCCATGGCAACACGCGTCGCCCTGCTTCGCTGCACACGAACGTGGCGAGATCCTGACAGAACTGTTGATTTGGAACCTGGAGGACCTGGAGGAGCTGTTCCCCTCTGGTGATTTCATGGTGATTTCATGGTGATCTCATGGTGATTTCATGGGATGTAATGGGATTTACCCTCCGGTAATTTGTTACAAAGCTATAAAAAATGGCCATAGAAATAGTGGATTTACCCAGCTAGAAAATGGTGGGATCTTTCCAGTTCGCTAGGTTAAATTACCAGGGGGTAAGTTCTTTTTTGGTACTCAACATCCGATACTTGGGGTACTCAATTTTGACCCATACCATTTTTTGTTCGGACTGGTGTCATGAAAAATCATGCTTCCCCGGACTTGGACCCAAAAATGAGTAGATCCAAGGGTTTCGACTGGGGACTGTCTAGGGGAGGACTTCCCATCATGTTTTCAGGCCCCAAAAGCATCCCAAACATGGAGCACATGGGTATGGATCACATAATTTATGTAGTGTGGGATCAAACATGACATTTTTTGGTATGAGATGGTTTCATGATGTTATATGAATATATATATATATATATCAACCACTATCAACCCATGCATTTTTTGGGTGGTATTTCTTTTTGATGGGCCATTCACACATTTGGAGAATCCAACTTTTTAAGACGTGAATCATGTACGAATCATCCCATGTGGGGAACGTAGAACAGAAGATAGTCCTAGCAAGAAATATCTAGATATATATGAAACGTTAATAGATATCAATGGATAATGGATATGTCTAAAATATCTAAAAGTGAAATAGATAGTATCAACATATCAACACATCTAGAACAGCAAATAGATAAGATATATCAATAAAATATCTATCTTAAAGTAATGTTCTGCATCTTTTCGGTGTTACAGAAAAACCACGAACTTTGCGAGATTGTGTTTCATCATTCTCATTTTAGTGGTCGATAGTTCAGCTGGTTCTTAAATACACAAACAAAATCAAAAACATGATGGTGGATATAAACTATGATATACTTTCCGTTGCCTTTCCAGTGCCAATCTTAGATGCCTTGCACATAAATAAATTCTTAGCTGGTGAACGTAGATAATCTCATTGATACCAAAAGACTAAAGGATTAAAGTACCGATCTAAGATTGACCTAGTTTCGAAGCCAACTATGGTCCCAAGATACTTCAGTTGTTTCAACATTAGTTAAAAAAAACTGAGGGTGGATATACTTTCCGTTGCCGTTGGTCAATGGGAATTCCAGGATCCTAAAATGGAGGTACGTTAGTACCATATAAGGCTATATTTTGTAGGGATATTCCCTGAAAATTAGGCCTAAAAATAGGCCTTATATATGGTAGGTACCTCCAATCAATCGGTTCCTGAAATGGCCACTGATTGAATCATCCTTGTCATATGAATAATAGGGTCATAGGGTTGATACTAACCTATTGATACTAACCCACATAGGGTTGATAGTCATACCCCGTTGCCCTTAGCCAACAAACATGAAATTCACAGTGGGAAGGCCGGCCGCGTATCGCCGCAGCGCTGCCTGTAACATGACAAGTACTCGACTCCCTGCCAAATACAGCTCCTGGAACCTTGGAGCATCGGTGTGGATTAAGGGATGACTATGAAACCTTGATTCATCGCGAATTAAATGCTAGTGATGACATAGATAGGTAGGTAGGTAGATAGACAGATAGATAGATAAATAGATAGATAGATAGATAAATAGATATATAGATAGATAAATAGATGGATAGATGGATAGATGGATAGATGGATAGATGGATAGATGGATAGATGGATAGATGGATAGATGGATAGATGGATAGATGGATAGATAGATGGATAGATAGATAGATAGATAGAAAAATAGATAGATAGATAGATAGATAGATAGATAGATTAGATAGATAGATAGATAGATGGATAGATGGATAGATAGATAGATAGATAGATTAGATAGATAGATGGATAGATGGATAGATGGATAGATGGATAGATGGAAAGATAGAAAGATGGATAGATGGATAGATGGATAGATGGATAGATGGATAGATGGATAGATAGATAGATAGATAGATAGATGGAAAGTTAGATAGATAGATAGATGGATGGATAGATAGATAGATAGATAAATATGTATATATATAGAGAAAATAGATAGATGGAAAGTTAGATAGATAGATAGATGGATGGATAGATAGATAGATAGATATATAGATAGATAGATAGTTTGTATGTATATATAAATAGTGTATATATATATAGAGGGTATCTATCAACCGCTTAGTATTGATATCATTATTGTTACTGTTGTCATGTTCAGGGCCATTATATGTTTTCTCAACATTAATATTATCATGATCGTTATGTGTTTCAGGAAAAGAACAAAATACTATCATGAATATTGGTATCATCATTACCATCACTATGATCATTTTTTATTGTCATCAAACTGATTGTCATTATAATCATTAACATTATCATTGTTACTATCATTATTCTAAGCATTGTTATCATCATTATTATTATCATCATGGTTATCACTGTTGTTGTTATTCTACTACTATCATAAGTGTTGTAATTATTAGTATTATTAGTACCATTTATTTATGATTATTGCATGTATGCATTTATATATGTATATATTCAACATATATATATACTATATACTATATACAGTCAACTGTAGTTTCTGGGAACCTCAGGTTACAATCAACCCCTTAGCCGTCGCCCTTAAACAGTGCGTGCAGCTCGTCGGGCCGTCGTGAACAGCCCACGCGTGCAGGGACCGAGTCTGATTGAGGCAGCAGGACCGTTGCAACGCTTCCAACGCCTGCAGTCGTCGCTGGAAAAAAACAGAAAAAACACATAAGATGGTAGTACCATCATTAGATGGTAGTTATCTTATGGTACAACAATATAACCAGAAGATGGTAGTACCATCTATCTAGATTCTCACCAGATATAACTACTACCATCATATCCAGGATGGGGGCCCATAGTTAGCTAAGTTGGTTTATAACTATAATAACCATAGTGTCTGATACGCAAATAACTATATTTAGATGGGGTTATAAACCAACTTATAACTGGAGGGCCCCAATGCTCTAAGTATGGAAGCATTTGCCAATGCTCGTCATTTTGGGGGTAAATGTTGGTAGATATTCGATATATGGAGTCCATCAAACGGAGCATATGGGTATTGAAGAGTAAAACCCTCTACTTCGTGGCTCATCCCACTTAGTAAGTGGCTTATAACCCAAGTTATACATTGGATACGTAGAGTTAATCCACTTACAACTGGTGTTATAACCCACTTACTAAGTGGGATGAGCCAAGTAATATCTGGTGTATTAGTGACAGTTTATAATCACTATCAAGACTAGTATGACTACAAGTGACTTGTACTAGAGTGATAATGGTGATATAATGGTAATAGTTATACCTGATAATAAACAGAATAAATACTGGTTTCTTAGTGATAATAGTGATTATGTGTGACTATGAAAATAGAATGGATTGTTATACGGTGATAATAAGGTTAACTAAATCAGTGAAATTGTGATAATAGTGATCTATATAGTGATAATACTGATTGTCATAATGATGCTTACTGACCATCCATTAATATAATAGTGATCATCCATTCATTATCATAGTGAACACAGTAATCATAATGGATTATCCATGGATTATTGTAATGGGCCTTATTTGGATTGTGATAATGATCATAAGACTAACTGAATCAGTGATAGTTATAGTGATGATCCAATATGTTCCAATTATCTATGACGTACCTTAGCCTCCCAGTTGCCTCTGAGATAGGTAAGCATAGTGATTTCACACATAAGGTTTCTGGACTCGATGAACACGTGTCTGATGGGTAAGTGGAAAGTGAATGTATGTCATTTAGCTTGGTTTGAAGTTTGAACACTGCTATATATGACATGTTCCAATTGTCCTACTGGACGAAGTGCGACACGAAAATCAGAAAAATTAAGCTATATTATGGTGATATAACCTTACATAAATGAAGGTATATTAGAGGAATCACCATATATATATATTTATATATTTATATATATATACATTCATTCACTATGGTTATTTTGAGGTGATTCCTCCTACATCCATGGGGATGGCGTTGTCGCCTGATAACCCCAGGCCCACCAAGCGGATCAATGGCCTTTCAAAGTCAAGGCATAGATACAATATAGAAACTCTTTTAAGAAGATAAAAGTAAATGACCCATACCTTACAGGCCATTGTACTTTTCCACCTTTCGATTTTTAAAGGTTGCTACAAAGATCTCTCATTCGGAAACCTTTCAATCCCAACAGTTCGGCCAAAGATGGAACCACTCAACCCCCAGGCGCCATCTGGAGGCAATAGTCGCTGCTCCATCAGGTACCATGTCATAAATGACCTCAAATCAAAATCAGCTCCCATATGCTCCATGTAATGTTGAGCTAGATTTGGGTCATCAAATGATACTGGTAAATATGGCATATATGGAGCATATGGGCGTTGGATGGCGTTGGTATCTTTCTAGGTTGGATGAGTTAACACATGTTTGACCGGAGATCTCTGTTTCCTTGGTTGTTTAATCAGAAAGTCCTGGGACTTCACGTATTTTCTTTAACAAAAACAATCAAGTAGTGTTTCTTTTTCTAAGAAACAAATCAAGCATTGCTCCCTTTGTTTTTTCACCATGGGGGTCCGCAACAAAAATCCCAAAAGCGCCTCGAGCCAAATTGTGGGACTTTCGGGAACCCCCTGTTGATGAACTAGGCTTCATTCAATCTCCAAATGGATGCGGTTCTTCGTTTCGTCTCTATCTTGATCTATCTTGTGTTGAAGTGTCCAAAGATATCTAACAATATGTACACTTACATCACTCATATATATATATATAGACATATAATAAATGCATATAAATGCAATATCTTTCATACAATGACAAATAATTCTAATTCATTTCGCCTCCAGAATCACTGGGTTCATCAAGCCAGGTCTAGCCCAAGTCCTCAGCTATCCTTTTGATAGCACGACTTGGTCACTACAGTTTGATGCTACCTCTGTTAGTAAAGTTGGTTTTTAACTAGGCTAGCTAGAGGGTTATAAAACAAAAACTTGTCACAGGGGGGCATCACAGTCAAGCTTTGCTCCGTCAAGTCGACGGCACTACTGATGCTTAGAAAACATATTGGCATATTTCATGTTGAGAATAGTTACCCTCTGGTAAACTAACATAACTATGGAAAATCACATTTGTTTTATGGGTAAATCAACGAAGTAAATAGCAGTTTTCAAGTTCTCAAACTGTTAGTTTACCAGAGGGTAAAGGTCGTGGGGATTTCAGCTTCCTATGCTGTTGGTCGTTGGTAAGCCCTTCATAAACCCTAAAAAAAGTGGTTGTTGGCTGAATTCCCATGACAGAATATCTGCCGTGTTTGGAACTGCCAGGTACCTTCAAAAACTCCAAAAAGCGCCAATCTTGCATGTCCAGGCACGCTGAAATTGTGGCTAAAGGTGTGGTTAGGGAAAACCTGCGGCAGGCGCAACCAATTGCGGATGGCTTCACTCTGTCCATGAAATACAGTGCCCTAAAAACAGTGATGGCCATGGAATGAAATCCTCCTGCAACTGATTATATATACAGTATATATATAATTATACATAAGCCGGTTATGCCTGGTAAATGTATCGCTGATATGGTTTTAACGCAGGTTCTGACCCATCCTCAGTGTTTGTTTACCTCTCGCCCAGGTTGGTCTATACTAAACTGCACGAATTAGAAGGACAGGTTGAAGCACTAATCGTCTATAGCATGGCGTTGAACGATGGGTTCGGGTCAAAATATGTGACAGTACACTTCCGTGCGCACAGAATTGTACGGTTTTTAGGAGAGATAATCAGAGACTTCACGTTTTAGACAGTACCCTTCATTACTAACAGTTCATTCAGATTTCATTCACCATCAAATTTGAAATTTCAAAAAGTAACAATGTCTAAGATTTCATTCACATTTCATTCACCATCATTGGTAAAGATTGTTGCCAGGCCTTTCAAATTTGCCAAGACCTTTGAGACATGTTGAGACTGGAGGTTTCCTCAGTCTTGGGGGTACCCCAAATCATCTAAGTCATTGGTGACTTGGGGATCCCCCATGTTAAGAAACCCCCATATGTTGAAAAAAATAGGCTGATATCACCACCACGAATAAGGATAAATGGGGTACAAAACCAGCTATAATATTCGATTATTCGGATATTCATGGGGATATTTGCCAATAAAAATAGCCAGTTTCTCTATGTTTTTGTTTCTGGATCTTGCATCGCTAAAGCCACCAGATCCGCACCTCATGCTGTCTCTCCGCAGCAAACCACCACACGTTGTTTCACCGGCGTCAAGAGCGACACGTTTTGCGCCAAGTTTTCGGCGTCGACACTGGAGCCAAAGGGAGACGCCAAACGAGACGAGACGCCATGAGTTTAGTTCGGTCTCTGGTCATCCATTCATGCAGTTATGGCCATTTATCAGTTATAAGTACTTATAACCCCATTTATAGAATGTATAATCCCATTTATAACCAGTTATAACTGGTAAATGGCCATAACTGTGGTGGATTTTCCCATTAAAGGCAGAAGATTATCCATTTATATCCAGAGGAACATTTTCCCATTAATAATGGATGATCTTCCCATTAAAAACCACCATCAATTATAGCCTATAGCCTATTTTCATCCATTTTCTTTAATGGTTATAGGCTATGATTTTGCCATCCATAGATCTCCATGGATGCTGGGATGGTACTCAAACCCCACTGGCACTGTGTTCGCTGAATTTTGAATTTGTCTTAACATGGAAAAACCATGGAAAAACCGTGGAAAAAACCATCAAAATTAGATTCGTCAAAGTGTCAAAGTATGGATTTACTGCACCTTCACAAATGGCCGTTTCAAACTATATCTGGTTGGTGGTTTTAACCATCTTGAAAAATATTAGTCAATAGAAAGGATTATCCCATAGATTATGGAAAATAACAAATGTTCCAAACCACCAACCAGATATCATCCGATTTCTGGTTTCATTTTGTTGTTCCCATTTCAAGGGGTCACTTCTCCACACCACCAAAAAAACCGCTGGAATCCGCACCCTCCGCACGGTTGAACTCCGGGGACGCCTCACAAGTCACCGCAAGATTGGGAAGTCATGGTCATGCAGTAAGATTTTTGGAAGCATGGTATGTATAAGTTATATATATATATATGTGTAAATACGTAAAAATATACACTGTATATATATATGTACGTATGTACGTATGTACGTATGTATGTTTGAATGTGTATGTTTGTATGTATTTATATGTCTATTCATCTGTATATTTATCGATCTAATCTATCTAGCAATCAATCAACCTATCTATATATATATGATTATTGTTTATCTATTTATCTATCTATCTATCTAGCTAGCTATCTATCAATTTATCAATTTATCCATTTAATATATCTATCTATATGTCTGTCTATCTATCTATTGATCTATCTATTTATCTATGCATTCATGTATCCATGTATGCATGTATACGATTAAATATGTGATATATATATATACATATAATGTAAATATGTTTATGCATGTATATTTGCATGTATATGCAATATATGTAAATATGTATGTATTTTATATGAATACTAATCGTAAATTATATATAAATATAAAAAATATTGATATGTATGTATGTATGTATGCATGTATGTATGTATCAATGTATGTATGTATGTATGCATGCACGTTTGCATGTATGCATGTATGTGTGTATGTGTTTGTGTATGGATGTATGGATGTATGCATGTATGGATGCATGCATACATGCATGTATGCATACATGCATGCATGTATGGATGTATGCATGTATGCATGTATGCATGCATGCATGCATGCATGTATGTATGTATATGCATGTATATGTATGTACATGTATGTATATACATGTATATATATAAATATATGTGTGTATATGTTTGTAAATGTATGTATATTGATGTACATGCATGTCTACGTATGTACATGTATGTATATGCATGTAAATGTGTAAATGAATGTATATGTGTGCATGTGTATGCAAATCAATTATATGTATGTATATGTATGTATATGTATGTATATGTATGTATATGTATGTATATGTATGTATATGTATGTACATGGATGTCTATGTATGTAAATGTGAAAATGTTTGTGTATGTATGCATATGTATGCATATGTAATTATATGTATGTAAATGTATGTATATGAATGGATATTCATGTGCATGTATGTATGTCTGTTTGTCTGCATGTCTGTCTGTATGTCTGCCTGTATGTCTGTCTGTATGTCTGTCTGCATGTCTGCCTGCATGTCTGCATGTCTGCCAGTATGTCTGTATGTGTGTATGTCTGCCTGTATGCCTCTATGCCTGTATGCCTGTCTGTATGTCTGTATGTATGAATGCATGTATGTATGAATGCATGAAGGTATGAATGTATATATCTATGTGTACCTGTATGCCTACCTATCTACCTATCTTTCTCTCTATCTACCTATCTATATATGTGTTTTTCGTTTTTTTCTTTCTTTCTCTCTGTCTGTCGGTTGCATTGTTGGTGGCATTGCTGGTTTTATTGCTGTCTGGGCACGCAGAACTCCATGGGCGACGCAGAACTCCATACCCTGGACTGGCTGCATAGCCTGGATACGCACTGGCACGGCCCACGACTGGCAGAGCAAAGTTACAGGTGAATATTTCACACCATCAACGTTCGGGACGGATACAATTCCTCAACGTCTCTTCGATCTCAAAGGCTTTCTGAGGTGGGACTGTCTTCTGCTCAATCGCCTTAGTGCACAATGATCGAAGCATGCAAAAAATGCAAAGTAAAAACAAAACAACTTTATCATGAATCAATTAACTTAACTAATTAAATGAATAAAGCAAAGGAAACAAGCAAAGGTCCGTGAGGTTGTGCCCTTGCTTCAGTGCCCAGTCATTGAAAGCCATACCAGCTCCTTGGCATGATGTCTCCTACACAATAGCTAATAAAACAAGAGCTCTGATTCAGACATAAATATGTGAGATACCTAACATGGGTTGGATTTTGGTGTATTGGTGGTGACATAAACAATGGTTCGAGAAAATAAATCAAAATCAAGACACTGTGTCTGCATTTATTCCTTTTTCTCTTTCAATATTTCCATCTGTCGATCTATCCATGCATAAATCTTATCTATCCACCTATCTTAGCTTACCTTATCTTTTCTTAGTTTATCTATGTTTTGTCTAAATGTGTATGTATATAAATATATATATATATACACGTACAATATGTATGTATGTATATATATATACAGTGTCAGTATCTACATACACAGATCTATTTTAGTTTCCAAAAAATGTAAGTTAGAGTGAACCAACAATGCTTTCCAAGGGGATAGAAAACTTGGAAAAACAATCCTTTTCATTTTTTAGTTAGGAAGTGTGAAACATCGGGGTCTCCTCCGCTTGTGACCCCTGACTTTGGATGATGGATGATCAACTCCTCATACTGGAAGATGGTCGATGAGTATCCCCAGATCTTATGGGCCTCCACACAATTTTGTGGTCTGCTGATCCCTTGCCAAGTGGATAAACATTGAACTTCCGGGAGGATATGTGATGAATTAAAGGAAATCAGAAAACTAAACGTACTAAAATCAAGCAATGAAATACTATATTGATCCAGTTATCCATATCACATATCCAGTTAAAATCAGTTAAACATATTATAATGGTTGACATCCAATTCCCAGCAGGCTAGCGATGCCATCGCTTCGCTCGCTTCGCCTGGTGGCGGTCCATAAGACATGGTCCCACCTGCGAAAAGGACCATCGAAGTTCGAAGCTGCAAAAAACCGGTGCTGAACCGGGAGAAAGAGAAAAATCATCGAAACCATAGATAGAAACTGGTAGAAACCATAAAAAAGTGGTTTCTATCCATCTATGGTTTCTATCTACTGATAGAAACAGGAAATCTCCCAAGAATATATCACTGGAATGTGTCGTTTAAAGGATGCCCGCAAGGGTCATTTACAACCAGCAGCAATCCAGTTTAGCCTTCAGGGAGTCACTGAATATGCTGGAGGTATCAACATGACTAGTGGCTACATTCAGGTAGTAGTGATGTTTGGTTCAATTTTTTTTTGGCCAAACAAATGGATTGGTCAGCCAATAACTTCACCAAAAACATCGCGTTCTGTAGGTATATAATTAATTGGTCCCCAATTTTACCGCCATACCCTTTTCAATCAGAAACATGTGCAAACACCCAAGACAAAAATCCAAGTATTTTTAGTTACTTGTGTGGCACTTGACACACCTTTCCGCAAAAAAACATCAGGGCTTCTGGCCGTGCTTACTATTAAAACATATTGGGATATACAAATGACTTGACGCTTGACGGATGCCCGATTGGAACCACATGGATCGCTTTCAAAGTCAAAGCATCCGATTGCTTCATTTCTCAT